TATTATTGTAAAAATGATATCACTGTATTGGGATTTGCTTCTCTGGGGTTAAGCCCAAGGAAGAGTTAACTGGTGCATTCCTGGGCTTGAAATAAGGAATAGTATAACTGAAACCTATAAGTCTCGTAGAGACTCATTTAATCAAACCAAGGGTCTGCTTCAGAATCAACAGTAAAACCTGAACCAGAGGACATAGGTAGATACTACAGGGCATTCATTTAAAACTAATTCAGCATTAAAGGCTGTGGGCATCAAGAAAAACCTACCCATTTACCCAGTGACCAAAAACAATATCCTGACTTCTTCTTAGAAATGGATGGTCCTTGAGTCAATTAAATATTTGTAACCAAACAATATACTGTAGGTGGGTCTTAATGGCCACTTCTTGTTTTTGTTAACCTTTTTTTAGTTTTGAAATAACTAAAGATGAGCAGTGCAGTGGTTTATTGAACTGCACTGCTGCTCTCTGTGTGGAGTGTGTGGGTTTTTGCTGGGGAATTTCTCCCACAGTCCAAACACATAGTGGTAGGTTAATTGGCCCTCTGTGTCTGTATTTGGCTTGTGATGGACTGTTGTACTGTCCTGGTTGTATTATGGAACAAGTAATAGGTTTATTCCATGCTGAAAAAAAGAAGAAAGAGAACACAATGTTTCAGCCGTGGAGCCTTCTTTAGGTGTGAGGTGTCAGGTGTCAGTCACACCTGAAGAAGGCTCCACGGTCGAAACGTTGTGTTTTCTTTCTTCTTTTTTTCAGCATGGAATAAACCTATTACTTGTTCCTTTGCAGCCTACGCATGCTGATGCAGCAACCCACCTGGTTGTATTATGCCTTGTGCCTGTTGATAGGCTCTAGCTCTCCAGTAACCCTGTATTGGGTAAGAAAATGGATGGATAACTAAAGATGATGTACACTTTCACCATCCATTATGTTTTAAAATATCATATGAGACAAATCTGTAGTTCAAAAAAGACCAAACCACTTCAATATACAATAGCAAGAGAACATAATATACAACTTAAAATTATTTTACACTTAAAGCACTGTTATTAAATCCGTATTTTTCTGATTTACATTAACGTAATACATGAAAACAATATAGACATCCTTTATGTGACATGTTAACTTAGAGAAATATATGAGCAATAATTGATTCTGCCACCGACACTCCAGATTTTCTACAAAGTAAATTACATAGGTACATTATACTGTTTATTTTTTTTGCTTTGGTTCTAAATTGCTTACACAATAAGTACACAATAAGTATACCAAATGGAAATTTGTTTTAATTTTTTAAATGGAAACTTTAAACAAAGCTCATTAAAATCATTGTTGGGACTTCTTTATCCTGATTATTGAAGTTAAGCAGGTGTTTCAGTCTTCTGGGACAGGCACTGGCAAAACGTGTTCAAAGCTCTGTCTAGAAAACAACCACGTTAATAATTCTTTGTGATTTACCTTGCAGAATTCCAGTAGCCCTAAAATTATAATACTGTACATGGGCTAAGAACAGTAAGCAGTCATGCTGTAATTCTTAACCTAGTTCATCAAAACTTTTCAAAAAGAGGCTAATCTTTTTAAACATCAATGTCAAGGCTCCTATATGGGTAGTTTATCATTCTTGGATGGAGTGACATGGAAGGAGATTCGGTTAAAGCCATTCTGTGTTTGTTGTGCTGTTGAAATCTGGCATACAGGGTCTCTGTGGAAAGAAGTTTCACGCTTCCACTAACATTGAGAACTCGAAATCAAGCCACATTATGCACACATTGTGGCTGTCTTTACTTACCTAATTTTCCCCAGAAGGTACAAAATGGGAGTTGTTTTATTTTTGACACGTTTGAAAAATCAATTTTCACAACAAATGGGCTGTTAATAAAGAGCCCTTAAGGATGAATCAGCTGACTTTCACTCTAGTCTGACTTAAGCAGTGCAGAGAGGCAAGTTGAGGCTAAAGGGTGTTTTGTCTTAGTGAAGGCAGCTTTTATTTTTAACTCTTCCTTCTGAGTGAGTGCAATTTAAAACAAAAATGCAAATGTTTAAAGCACTTAAGACTACTGAGTCAAAAATATTCTCTGGTTCTGGTTATTATCTCTCACCAAAGTTGGTAAATGTGTGATACAGAGTCAAATAAATGTATTTTCTGCCTATCGGTTTCAGGTTTTTTTCAGCCTGAGCGTTGTCTATTTTCCATGATGTATATGAATTCTGTTTAATCTTAATCAATTATTTGAATGCTAAATTGTCTCTGTTGAAAAATGCATAATAAGTTATTTTTTCTACAGTCTTATAGGTAGGTTAACATTGAAATGAGACATTTCTGTCTGAACACTGGTAAAAACATGAACAATCACTATATAGCCCACATTGCAGTGGATTCTTAATGAATATGTTATATCTTGGCTGGCATGGTGGCACAGTGGTTAGCATCACTGCCTTGCAGTGCAGGGGCCCTGGATATAATTCTGGCCAAGGGTTGGTATCTGTGTGGTGTTTGTATGTTCTCCCTGTCTATGGATTAGTTTTTGCTGGGTGCTCCTATTCTCTACCACAGTTCAAAGACATGCTGGAAGGTTAATTGGGTTCCTGGGAAACTGGCCCTGGTGTGAGTGTGTCTGTGTTTGTGTCTGTCTGTGCCCTGCGATGGACTAGTGTCCCGTCCAGGGTGTATCCTGATTTGAGCCCTTTGATTACTGAATAGGCTCTGTCATACTCAAACACCCTAAATTGGATGAAGGGGTTAGAAAATGGATGGATGCTATATTTTTATTTGATTGTATCAGCATATATTTCAAAATTACATTAATTTTGTGTACCTATTTATGCCTCATTCTCATTTCTGTTTTGGATTCCCAGAGGAACAGTTAATTTGTAAAATCCCCATTGTTGTCATGTGTCTTAGTTCTGGAAAGGACAGCCACCAATTCAACTATTTTTCAACAATTCAACTAAAGTCAACCATTTTGTTTAAACATTTGCCCATGGCTCATGACAGTAATTGCCGAATACTCAGACAGTGTTGACCAAAAAATAATTAAATTGTGAATAAAAGTGGATGAACTGGCACTATATTGGCTGGTTTACTGCAACAGCAAATCTTGCTGTGCCCTACCATCGTTACTTCGGCATGCGGGATGATTTTGTCAGTGTTCAGACTATATAAATAAAGGATATTAATTCACTACCATAATTAATAAGAACTAATTAATTAAGTCTACCATGCATTCTATAAGTCCCCATCCCAGAGCATACTAGTGTTACTCAAAGCAACTGAGTCAATTTACTAGAAGATAAATGAACATTGAACTGATTTAGAGGCAGGTGTACTGTATAGTGTTTTCATAAATATTCAGACCTTTCCTATAATGCCCCAATTTGCTTAACTAGAAAATGGTACATATACAATTTTTAAACTTAATATTGTATTAAAAACCTCAATGAACTCAATATTTGGTGGAAGCACCTCTTTTTGGATAAACTTTGCATACTAGCTTGGTGCAATTTGTGGCCATTCAACACTGTTGTACAGGACTCACAATTTTTCTGTTGTAATGATAGTAGTGTCTGTGGTTGTGAAGAGATTGTGTGTGTGCAGTTGTAACACTTTAAATATGTCAGTAAATGTGAAGAGCCTTTAACAAAATATAATTTAAGCTACATAAGCATTTTATATCAGGGACTTTATTCCTCTTATCTTCATGACAATTTCTCACAAAATCAAAATGGCTGCTCATTTGCTTGGCGTTTGCATATGGACAAGAGTTTTCAAGTCTTCTACAGATTCTCAATAGGATTTAATTGAAGACATTCAGCTATTCAAGGATATTCACTTTCTTATTCCTAAACCAATCCAGTATAATATAACATTGGCCTTGTCCTTTGAATTATTGTCCTGTTGAAAGGTGATTTTCACTCCATTTTAAGTTTTTAGATTTCAGACGTTTTCTTCCAGGATTTGCCTGTGATTTTGCGCCTTTGATTTTTCCTTCAGCCCTAACAATCTTCCCACTCCCTATTGAAGAGATGCATCCCCATACATTCATGTTGCCACCATTGTGCTTGACTGAGAATGATTTTGTCTTGTATGACCACAGAACCTTTTGCCACATGTGTGCATTGTCACTTAAATGCTTTGTTGCAGAGCAGACGTTGGATTTTTCACTCTGTCATACAAGCAAGCTTTGGTATAGAGATCTGGATATTATTAACTGACAGATATTTTCCCATCTCAGCTATTTATCTCGGAAACTATTTCAAAGTTGTTTTTGGCTTCACAGTGACATTCCTCACAAGATTACTCCTTGCCCATCTGCTCAAAGGGAAATCATGATCTAGGCAGTGTCTAGGTAGCATGACGCACCTTTCATTTGATGGTAATTAAGTATAAATAAAGTACTCACAGGGATATTCAGAGACTTTGAGACATATCTTGGTACTCTTCTCCTGATCTGAGCTTTTAAACAACATTATCCCTGATTTGCTTTCAAAGCTCCTTAGTCTTAATAGATTCTATGCTGGAAATTCACCACAAGACCCAGGAACCTCACAGAGACAGGTGTTTTTATTTTGAAATCATTAGAGCCACAATTATTCCTCTCAAACAAGAGCCATTCAGCATTAATGTGTGGCTTGTTAAGGTAATTCTGTACACCTAAATTAATTAAGGATTACTGTGGCAAAGGGTTTGAATACGTTTGCAGTCATGACTTCCATTTGTCTTTCCTATTGTTTAAAATTCTGTTTTTTCTTTGATTGTATGCTAACAATATATTGTATATAAACTGTGCAAGGGGCATTCTTATTCAAACAAAACACATGATAAACTCCTTAAATAAAAGCAATAGCTCTTACTTCTCAGTGTAGAAAGGTGTACTCAGCCTAGGCAGAGATGAAATTATTAACTTGCTTTGTTCATACATGTATCAACTTGATCCAGATGATGTTTATTTGCCTGTGAGATTTACAAATTGTGAAGTCATATTTTTTCCTGTGACTTTTCCAGGAGAAGCAAAGGTTCCTGACAGATGTTCTGCATGAGGTAATGCTTCTTGATGGCCTAGCCAGCTCGCATCCTATTTCGCAAGAGGTGCGCCAGGCAACAGACATTGACAGAGTATTTGATTGGATTGCTTATAAAAAGGTAAGGCTTGTCAGAGTTATGCAAACACTTTTTAAGTGTGCTTTAAAAGATGCAGATGTTTTTTACTTTAGATGGAAGAGTTGTATAAACCTTCAGGTAATTTGTAGCACATAACAGAATATTAATCAAAGATAATTCTGTGTCTGTACAGGTATATGAAAGGTTTAGTTGTGCTCTTTAGAGTCAGCAGGGTGCAGTCACGTAACAAGTATCAGGTCTGAATTCTTTATTACTGTGTCAGATATTTTAAAATGAATTCACTGGTGTTAACCTCATTTTAAATGATATATTTAATCAATTTTAAAGTTCAACTTTGTCCATGTTCTTTAATGAATAAAATATTATGTTCAGTCTTTTAAATGAAAGTTTATGGAGTTATGTTAAAAAAACAGATCTCGCTGAGTCTGTAACAGGGAAATAGTATTCATGGTGACAGAACACTTTTGAGACAAATTCTTCATTGAATTTTATAACATACTTCAATTAAACAAGAAAAAATCAAAAAAGATAACTACTGATATATCTTCAAGCAGATGTATATTTCTTCTCTGGAATGCATTATATCATTGTAAAATAATCAAGTTCTAAGATTTTGTTTTCATACCGTTTTAATTTTAAGAGGAGATTATTATGGATCGGAAGATCCTGGAAGTTATAATGTGATATAAATTAATAATGAATTAAATATAATTCAGCAATAGTAATTATATACTATTTTAAAAAATCCATAATGGAATTTATATGCATACCCTACTTTAATATTTTTATTTTAATTATCTATCTAGTCTTTCAAATATTGGACTTTCATCTGAGTACCAGGATTTCCTGCTTTGCTTTAATAGAGCTGCATTTTAAATTACATGTTTCATATGTTAATTATGGTTTTAGATATTAACAAATCAAAAACACTAACTTCTACATCCCTACAATACTGTATGTAGTGGCAGCAGTGTAAACACATACTGTAACTGGCAGGGTGTGGGTTCAGATGCTACAGTAGGTTTAGAAATGCTTTTATGCTCTTGAACAAGATACTGTGCCTAGTTTCTGCAACACCCGGCTGTAAAAATGGGTACAAGTGTTTCCTTGGCTAAATGTGTCAGCCAAATAAATAAGTAAAACATTACTAAAAATGAAGTATGAAAATATTTCGAATTCAGAATTCCTACTATTATTAACTTAATATGGAAGTCAGTAAACCTAAAGATCTATCTTCTGAGACATTCTGTCAGGCTGATCACTCCTTTCCTTTTGATCACAGTGAATCTTCTAAATGAGACATATCAGCCTCCTTGCTATAGTGCATGAGAGACACAGCTTGGAGGTGAACTTGTGATCCATAGGCTGGAGTGATTATTCCCTCAGCCAAGTAGAGGATTTTAATAGATGAGCTGTTTTGTCAAAATACATGTCCTGCCATTTTGGTTAGTCTACTAGTGTCATATCCAATGTATATTTAAACAAATTACTATTATAGAATGTCAGAATGTAGTACACCACATTATGTGGGATAATTGCTGCAAAAGAAAACAATTGCTGTGAGGTGCTGCTGTAGTGTGCTCTGTGTATTGTGAGTGGGCTTGATTGGACTTTGCAACTCCTCCAACTTTTATGCACTTTTGCTGTCGTAAAACAAGAAAGTTCATTTCTCCCACCATTGGATCATAAACACAGAAAACTGACATCAGGGACAATGAAGTACAAGACAAGCACCATGAAATGCCAGTGAAGTCTCCCAAAGTCAATGTGTGAAGTGATTCCACAGCATCATTCTGAATTGATACACCCTTCCTTGAAGTCTTACTTGCGGTGTCACCTGTAAACAATATCCTAAGTGCCTATTATCCCAAAAAGCATATTATTCTTTGTGACATCAACATAATCACCATAATGGTGGCACTGCTGCACTTTCCCTGATTGCCACTTCAGTGAAACGTTCATACCCTTTTGTCTCAGAGCACACGGTCATTTGTGGATTTCGCACTTAGTAACTTGAAAGCTTACTGTACCTGACCTCACCCCAGCAGACTTCTGTACACAGGGATAAAGGTAGGATCAGGTGTGTGTCAACTGAGTGGAATCTCTGCCCACATTCAAAACTGCTTTTTGAATAGCTCTCATTTCCATGGATGTGTTTATGCTGGCAGTGTGCAACATCATAATGCATCTTGGCTCTGTTCTTGATCAGGGCACATATTGAATAGCTACAGTAATTTCACGCCTCTTGCTGGCAAATGTTTTTTCCACTGCCGTTCCGTGCCCATGACCCCATATGTGTACCCTGTGATTTCAAGTAAATTGGATGTGCAGTTTTAGAGGTATTCTTCTCAGAGGTGATTGCGTGACTTTATAAACCCCTGCATATTAGAAACTGTCAAAATGTGAATTTATGCTTTGACTCTGACACACTGAGTAGCCGTGGCCCTGTCAGTGATATGAAAAGTTAACAACAACTCAGCAAATTCATGGGTGACAATAGCAGATAACAGTTCCCTGACCTCATCATTTACTGTGAATAATAAAGCACCTTATGGATCCTGTCCTGCAGAAAGCTTTTGAAATATGATCATAATGTGGAAATACTCTGTTTTAAACAAAATTAAGTGTTAAAAAAGACCAATGTGAACTGCCCATCATGAACCATTAACGTCATATTTTTTTCATTAACAGTAATTTATTTAAAATGAAAGGTTTGGGATATTTATTCTGATAAAAATAATATATCATCCTAGGCATAATTTCCCTTAACAGCATTTTTGCTTATATGTAATGTATTTTTTTCTCATAGGGCGCCGCTTTGATCCGAATGCTTGCAAATGTCATGGGGCAGCCAGTGTTCCAGATGGGCCTGAACGTAGGTGGAGTCCTTTACAATTTCTAAACTCTTGTTATGCCACTCTTTTGACATAATATATTGTTTGTCACAATCCCCAGGTTGTTTTTGTTTGCTTACAGCCACATGATGTGCAGAGCTCAGCACTGAAAGGCTCAAGTGCTCTTTTCAATCTATGGGCAGGTGTGCATATTAAGTCTCTGTAGGATTATCCAGCTGCTATTTCCCATCTCTCTCCGGTAGGAGACCTACGTTCTGATTGACTAGCTAAGGTCCTCATGGGATTGTTTATAATCCTTGTTGAAATTTTGCATCTCTCAGTACAATGTAGCTCTGAATACATTAAAGTATTCTATGGTGTCTTCAGATGTAAAATTATTCACGCAGAAGCAGCAGTGAAGCTGTAAATCATTTATTTACAGACTTATTTACTGGAATGGCACTCTTAATGCTGCCTGTGGGTGTGTATGTGTGCTGTAGTCAGTGTAGTCCTGATGCCTCAGGCCTGTACTTTTTATACATCATGCTAGTTCTTTAACACACTTCACCATGTCTGCTAACTCTTTGATGCCTTTTGCTTCCACTGACTTGGAAATTATTGTCTGATTTGTCCAAAGCTTTACATGATATGTACAACCTCCTCACCCATCTTGTCACATTTACAAACACATCTTGTATCTTTGTTGTGTTGTGCAGATGCTTGCAATGCTATAGATTTAATAAGCTAGATCGATGTGGGTAATTTTTGAAGCTCACCAGTAAGGTGTTTCAGAACACGCACACACAAATTCAAAATTGAAAGACTCATTAGAATATAAAAACATAAGAAAGGTTACACACGAGAGGTCATTTGACACATCTAACCTGTATGACAGATATTAGTTGATTGATCCAGCGCTCTTATCTAGCTGTTTCATGAATGAAGCCAAGTACTGGCTTTAATCAAACAGCTAGGTAGCTGGTTCCATACTCCTACAACTCTTTGAATAAAGATGTACATCCTATTCTTGCTTTTCAATGAAGTTTGACATTGTCCACTTTTGACCTCTGGTTTATATTTCACTGTTCACTTTGAACAAGTCCTCTTGGGTGACTTTGTTGGTGACTTTCATTCTTGTGAAAGTGGAAAGTGTGGAGAGGCCAGGTATTGTGCTCATTGCATGCTAATGCCCCTCATCCTCTACTTCAATGTACCTTCTCATTGCCATGAGAGAAATTCTAGAATCACCCACTTTCTTCCCTACAATGTGGCATGGGACAATGCTGTGCTTGTGAGTTCGAATGATTGTTAAAGAACTAACTGAACTATGAATGTTTTATTGAACAAGTAAATACATGCAAGCAATGCAATTCCTCAAAATGGCCACCTGTAACTTATTACATAAAGTCTTTACATATTTACTTACACATTTACATATTTGACTTACAATGCCTGTCTATGGTTCTCAAATATGATTTCTTCAAATGGCACACTCATTCCTGAAAAACAGAAATTCCCAAGTCTGGTCTTTACGAACTACTATATTTGCTGTTTTTTACACCATCTGAGCTGAAAATCAACAATGCTAATTGAGGCACTTAATTGATATGCTTGCTTGTTTAGACTTTTGGTTTACTTGTTTCTGCACTCAGTTATGAATTAAAAAAAAACACCATGCTTCAAGCATATTGTTTAAAAAAATGTCAGCATACAAAACCTAAAGAAGTCTCCTCTCATACTTATTTGTGATTGAATTGCTTTTATGGGGATTAATTTAGATGATAAACAGACACAGTGACACAGTACATCAGGTACAGTGATACGTGACAATGTATCAAATCTTTCCTTTTTCCTTCTGCAGAGATCAAGTTAGCTACACTTCAGGCAATATGTAGCACTTGATTGACGGGAGTTCTGAAACTCAGAAATGCGTATACACTGTAGATATTGATATTGTACAAATTTATTGTATTAATGATATTCTTTACACATCTGCTTGATGTTTTAAGGATAAAAGCAAGTTTTAAAATATGCCCCACAACAGAGAATGTAGAATCAATTAACCTGCATTTAACTAACTTGATAAGATGCAATAAACTCAAAACATTCTATTTCAGGAACAGAGCAGTTAACCACTACTTTAAATACATGTACTGTATAATGTCATTTACCTTGAAAAAGCCAAATATATTTAAAATGTACATATAAAATGTTGCAATAGGTAAGATTTGATGTCAAGTGATTTCACTGTGCTCGCCAGGTTAGGTTCATGACCCTGTATTGGTTTAAAATGAGTATAGAAAAAGGGTGAATGGATGTATGGATGATTTGACTGCACACAAGTTCAAGTTCAAGTTCATGTTTATTTGTCATTCCAGGCATATACAAGTATACAGTGGAACAAAATATAATTCCTCCTGGTCCACAGAGCAAATACAGACAGGACAGACAGGACACTGACATAGACATCGTAAACAGGATACACATAGTGAAAGTGCAGATAGTGCAAATTACAATGCAAATACATAATACAATATACACAACACACTGGGGGGATTTAAAACCTGTTTCTGGAATTGGAGTGGGTGCAAGTAGATTCCAGGGTGTTGAGGAGCCTGACAGCCCGTGGGAAGAAGCTGTTACAATCTGGTGGAGCTGGTCCGTGTACTGCAATATCTTCTCCCAGATGGTAGGATGGCAATGAGTTTATGGGAGGGGTCATCTACTACAGTATACTGGAGGCCCAGTATAAGCAGTGTTTGTGATAGGTGACAGAAATGGAAGGGAGGCTCCAATGATCTTTTCAGCAGTTTCCAGAATTTGTTGCAGGGTCTTGCGGTCTGAAGCGTTGCAATTCCCCAACCAAACAGTGATCCAGCTGGTCAAGGTGCTCTCAATGGTGCTTCTGTAGAAAGTGGTAAGAATGGGCGGGGGAAGGTTTGCCCTCCTCAGTTGCCGCAGGAAATAGAGACGTTGCTGTGCTTTCTTGGCTAGGGAGGTGATTTTGAGGGCCATGAGTAATGTATAGACACAACGTGCTTCTAACTGTCTCCACAGGGGAACCGTTGATGTTCAGTGGAGAATGATCAGCGTGGGCCCTCCTGAAGTCAATGATTTTATCTTTTGTTTTTTTTACATTAAGAGATAGGTTGTTGTTTGGCACCAGTCCACTAGTTGCTCCACCTCCTCTCTGTATGGTGACTCATTGTTGTTGCTAATGAGGCCCACCACTGTCATGTCATCAGCAAACTTGAGGATGCAGTTTGAACTGTGCTTGGCAGTACAGTCATGAGTCATCAGTGTGTGCAGCAATGGGCTGAGCACACAGTCCTGGGGGATTCTGGTGCTCATTGTGATGGTGCTGTAGATGTTATTACCATTCTGGACTTTCTGAGGTCACTCGGTCAGAAAGTCCAGAATCCAGTTACAGAGGGAAGTGTTAAAGTTCTGCAAGATCAATTATTCTGTCAGCTTCTGGGGGATTATTGTATTAAATGCTGAACTGAAGTCAATGAAAAGCATGCTTACATAAGAGTCTTTCTTATCCAAGTGGGAAAAGGCCAGGTGAAGGGCAAGAGATACAGTATCATCAGTAGACCGGTTGAGGCAGTATGCAAACTGAAGGGGGTCCAGTGGGTTATGGAATCTGGACTTTATGTGGCTCATGGCTAGCCTCTCGAAGCACTTCATGATAATTGGTGTGAGTGCCACAGGGCGATAGTCATTGAGGCAGGACACGGCTGACTTCTTCGGCACTGGTATAATAGTGTTGGATTTGAAGCATATGGGGATGACTGCCTGGCACAAGGACATATTAAAAATATCTGTGAGGACGTCAGCTAGCTATTCTGCACATTCTTTGAGCACGTGACCAGGTATATTATCGGGTCCAACAGCCTTACATGGGTTAACTTTGGGTAGTGTCCTCCTTACATCAGCTGCGGACAGGCAAAGCATCAGGAGGAAGTGAGGTTTTCCTTGCAGGCACAATGGCACAAGTACTTTAGAGACTTTTACTTTTTATGTTACTTATACTTTTATATAATATATTTATATATATAGTTACTTATACTTTTACTTTTTATGTTAATAACTGCTTTTTCCTCAAGTAGCCCTATATATCTGGCTTTAAGTATTTCTTGTTGATTTCCTGTGTTATAGTGTAGGTTAACCTCACAAATCGAGCCTACTTCTCTAACTTCAATGTCAATCTTAGGCTCTTGGAACAGACCCAAAACATTTAGGTACAGTATATTGCACCAATGTAATGTTTTCAAAAACTAGTTTTTGCTTTGCTCTTTTGCATTCACACAAATATAAATATCACAAGAATCTTAACCATTTGGTGATTCAGTTAATCAGAATCAGAACCCAAAGTTATGCATGAAAGAATGTTTGAAAAATACAGTTTGATTCTTTCATACTAGAAGATCATCAAGTAAATCTTAAGTAAGTTTCTATTTCTTATTCATTGAACAGGTTTCAATGCATGCACTTGGATTTTTGCTTGGATTCCTATAGCTTTTAGAGTGAGAATTTATATTTTATGAGGGATTTCATGAAAATCTAAATATACATTAAAATATTTTCATGTGATAGAGATGTCAACTGTCCTTATTGCTTGTACAAAGATTTGTGCAAAGTTAGGTAAAAAATATATTGTTTTTCTTAATCCATGTTGGTGGTCCCTTAAAATATTCTTCTAATTTAGCATTCTCATTTACATGGTTTTATAAATAACACTAGTAAAACTGATTAGTCTTTTTTCTCATTTAATGTTGACTCCTTTTTATGAATTGGTGTAAATTTGCAATTATCCATTATGTATGAAAAGCTAAAGGTCCCTAAACAACATCCCTCATTTCCTTAAGCACAAATGGGAAAATGCCTCAGTGATTTAATAATTTTAACCCATCCTAGAGCCTGTAAACTTAAGTATTAGTTGGTCTTAGGTATACTAAGCTGTAATCACTCAAAATTGATTTCCATCTCTTACTGGGCACTTTTATTATATTTTTTGTATTAGTCCCTTTGATTGCTTTTGATTTTTGAGCAT